ACTGGCTCACACGGGGCACAAGTTCCTCCACCTTCCCCCACATCTCCACATCACGCCGGGCCAAGCCGCGCTGCCGCTCCTCCAGGTGGTGCATCCTCTGCATGTTCCACTCCACTCGCTCCCTGGCATGCAGGATGTCCTCCTCCTCGCTGCGCTCCAATGCCCGCATGTTCCTCTGCGTGCTCTCCTCTAACTCCTCCAGCCTCTCCTCCAAAGCCTGCAGCCGCGTATCTACCTCGTTCACGTGTTCTGCTGTCTGGGCGTGGGCAGCCCGCGTCTCCACCTTCAGGGCACCCACTTCCCCCACCACGTCTTCTAAACCATGCTGACGGGCCTCTGTCACATTCTGGAAGTGCATGCTGAGAAGATGGACGCTGACTGTGTCTGAGCTCTCACCATTCTGTTCTGCCAGCACGGCCACACGCAGGCTGGAGATCTCCTTCTCCAGCTCACCCGCCCGCGACATGGAAGATAGCATTCCCAGAAGGTCATCTTCCACGAAGTCCAGCTGAACCCACAACATAAAATGGGAATTGTGTGTCTCACTCTGCATGCCCCCAAAGTTATGGCCACATAAACTCTAAAGAATACGGTAAAACTGAGGAGTACAGCAGGCCAATCAAAAACCATGAGCATCTAATCAGTACACTATAACACTTAATAAATGCTCATGTCTCCTTGCATTTTAGCTTGTTCTCAATAAAGATGCTCCTCTAGGGCCGTTCATAACTTGAAATGTTCGTAAGTCGCTATTCAACAATATTTTAAGGATACTCAAATCTGTCATTACTAGCCTTACGCTTTTCACCAACCAAGATGGATAAAGGATGCACAGAATATTTCACAATAAAAATTAAGTAAACTTTGATCTCAAGAGATCAAGTACAAAGAACTAGGATGCTGGGAGTCTGCATGCTATGCTGCTGTGCGCCAGCAGTAGTCGCCAGAATTCGTACTAGGCTGAATTGGCGCACAGAACAAAATTTGATTTTGTGGACAGGAAACGGGAGCCCAATGAACACAATTTGGAATTACAAGCTTTCAGACATATGACCGAAGAAGACTAAATTGAAACTTCATAAGCAGAGGAGCGCCTGTACTTTGCGGTCACCTACTGGATTGTACAGTAATGTGATGGAGCAAGGTTTTCTTCAGCGGAGCAATTAAAACTATTTGAAGCATAACTCTATACAGTCAAATTAAAACAGAGTTTAAAGTATTTAACTCATGCTTTTAGAAAAAAAAAATCACTGCTACCATAGAGACACGTAGCCAGGTAGTAAAATTACGAATTTTAACTGTCTTTAAAATTTGCTTCCGTCCACCAGTTGTTGAAACATAGAGAGGGGACCCCCACTCCCACTTAATAAATTGTTATTACTGTCAATGCGGCCGAAACACAGTTACGGTTTGGTGGATGAGAGAAGAGATGTGCTTTCCTCATTAGTATGAAATGACTGAGCCCATCAACCAAATTCAGTAAGTGCATTTAACATGGCCATGATTTGCGCTGCGGAGAAAATTTGCATGTTTGTCTGTTATCTTTGTTGGAAAGCACCATCGCTGAAGACACTCACCTTCTGTGAAATTCTACTGACTTCAACGTGCAATTCCTGGAAGTCTCCTGCCTTTCTGTTCACGAGTCTGTACTTTTCTTCAAGGTCGGAAAACCTTGAGTTTTGCTGCAAGATGATCCTTCCAAAAAATGAGACGTGACATTACTACATAACAATTTGGGCGTTTTAGATGATACGTGTTATCAAATATCATATGTACTGTGTAAAAGGAAATGTTTAAAATGATCTTCATGTTGATATAAAACCATAATTGTGTCAGAGTCTTGTCAGTTTAATCATTTCAAAACCTCTACTAAAGTCAACACAGTATTTGCAGCACACATATCGTGTGCTGCACTCGATCACTAGGCCACCTCAATGGCTAAGTAAAATTTCGCTGACTTTTTTAAAAAAAAATTTTTAACTAAGTGAATTTAGTAATTAAGCCAGCATCGAGAAACTCATCAAATAGGCCTACATAGAATGGCACCCCTGAGGATTTTTTGAGAACCAAAGTAGTATTCGTCTAGCCATCCGCAGAGATTTCAGTATCTTTTTGTAGAGCAGAAGAAATTCTTGCTAATTTTTGTTGTGTTACTCTAAATTGGTATGGTAGCCCGTTTCCGCCACCCGGAGGAAAAAAAAAACCCCATTTATCTCAGAACTCTGACTTAAGTCGGAATTCTGAGTTCTTTCTGTTTTTTAACTTTTCATTGAATGTTGAGTGCTGACTTAAATCCATTCGCAAATGTGCATGTAACAGCAGACGTATACTTGGTCTTAACAGCATGGAGCACATAGCTGAGTATTTTAGTTGTGGTTTTACAAACAACCCAGCAAACATGCCCATTTGGGCCCTGCATGGGCAGGTGTGGGTCAGTGTGGGCAGGGCAAACCCACACTAATCCCAGGTGGGGCCCATGTGGGTTAGCCCACGCTGGGGCCCGCAGCAGTTTTGCCCTTTGGGGCCCCTATGTGGGTTTTCTGTAGGCTAACCCACTGTGGGCTTGCCCACCGAAAACCCACACAGCCCCCCTGTGAGTAAGCCCATGGAGGGCCTGCAGCAGTTTTGACAGCCCCTTTTTAATTAGAACTGCACACAGTCACCAAGGCAAGTAATTATTATAAATTATTATTAGTGATTAATTAAATTATTAATTATTTATTATTATCGACAGCAACATAGATAATAGTAATTATTATTGTTGTCGGTGATCATTATTATCAATAATAGTTTATTGTTATTGTTATTTATTATTATTATTATTATTATTATTATTATTATCTAAAGCTGTGCGCCTCATTTTGGCTGTGGGTTAGAAAACAATCCCGTCATAGAGAGTGTTCTGGCCCTGCCATTTATTTTGTGTGGTCACTGGGGACACATTCCCTGCGATCTCGAGACAGGTGTTTCTAATCAGAAAGACCATTAGGAGAGAAAGCGAAAGCTAATTAAAACAATTATTGATTATCCCTTGATATCCCCATTTAAAGGCACTCCCTGTGAGCATGCGTGTTCAATGCGTATCCGCCCAATGTGCCCACAGTGTGTCCACAGGGGAATGTATGTAAATGGACTGCATTTATATAGTGCTTTTCTACTCCTACGAGTGCTCAAAGCGCTTTACAGTTTATGCCTCACATTCACCATCCACACTCACATCATGCACCAATGGCAGAGGCTGCCATGCAAGGCACAAGCCTGCACACCGGGAGCAATTTGGTCTTCAGTGTCTTTCTCAAGGACACTTTGATGGGGTCAGGAGGAACCAGGGCTTGAACCTGCAACCCTCCAGTTGCCGAACGATAACACTACCTCCTGCGCCACCATCATGAAAATGCAGGGCATGTATGTGTAGGTAACTGATCAGCTATACTGATCTATGCTTCTGTCCAGCACGGAAAACCATATCTGCATCATCTTTCTCTACACGGCACCCTCTTAACTATAAAGCTCCCGTTCTCTCGCTTATAGGGTCAAGGGTCATTGAACCATCCAATCAGAGTCAGAGATAAAAAGTTAGAATTCCGACTTAATAAGTCAGAATTCTGAGATAAATGGGGTTTTTTTCTCCTCCGGGTGGCGGAAACGGGCTTCCATAATATGGGCATATGTTCCAATGTTAAATTTTCTGGTTTTTGTTTTAGTCTGATTCATAAATCTGTGGTAACGATATTTTGATACTTTGTAGTCATTGTTTGTTTGAGATGAACTTTATTAATTCCACGAAGGGAAATTTCGGCGGTAGAGCAGCAGTTATGGATTGGATCAAACAATACTACATAACATACGAGCACGGTACTAAGGAACATAAGTAAATTATTATAAATAAAATGTATAAACGATGTACTGTATACAACCAAAACAGCAGCCGAAATAAGGATAGTACCTACTGTACAAAGTGACGAATGCCAGAATATGCAAACACAGGTCTATGCCATGAGGATAGGTACTGCTGTATGAGAAAACTGCACTTACCATAAGAGTCCCAGGCAGACTACAGTGAAGAACAGACAGACACATGTTTTTATGTCTGGTGGGAAGGCAGATGATTTCTCGGCATCACCCGACGCAATCATCAGTTTGTCGCCCGCCGAATTCTCACTTTTATCGTAGGTCTGCTGTACAGTTTGATCCAACGCGGCATTATTATTTCCCTGCGACTGGATTTTCTTTCGTTGCTTCACTTCATTACCAGGCATTTTGGGGAAATACCTTTGCACCGTCTTGGCCTGTTTGTGGGAACTCCGGGAACTCGAAGAATGTCGCAGTCGTGCCCTTTGCCAAACTGACCCGAAGTTCAGTGGAAGTGACACAAATAAATCACGTGCACAACTATATTTTCTGTAATATTAAATCAATCCTTAAGAAAAAGGCGGAAAAGGAGGTCGTCCGGGACTGTATGAATAAATTTCCTCCGTGCCCCTGTATTCATGGCATTGAGAGCATTTCATTAATCTAATCTGTCCTGTTTCTAAGAAAGTTTTACTTCAGCCTTCGTCCGATTTATCCCGTGCACGACCGGGCAAACTCCCACAGGACCGAAAAAATCTTCAAAATTATTGAGTGCTAGTATCGAAGCTCTCATGCCAGCGTCATCAATACAGTCCACGTCCACTTCCCAGCCGGCCCTCCTTCATCCTCCGCCGCGATGACGGCGCTGCAATCCGACACCCGCGAGCAATGCCGGGAAGGCAGCGCTGGACGCGTCGGTATCCATTCCGCTCCGGCTTCCCTGCCATTACAGTCAACAGGAGAACCTTACGAGGCTGAAGTCTATTTATTCGCCAGCTTCTTCGTGAGAACCATTGATATTTTACATATATAAAACATCCGTAATGTACTTCCATGCAGCTGAACCGCACACAGGGTTTACTAGATTAACAACGCAGGGACGCTCATTTGACCGGGTACTCACACTTCAAGAAACGCTCAGGCAACCGTACAGGGGTACGCGAAACCGTTTATTCATCATTTTCCATATATAACAACATTTCAAATCAAACTCTTATCTATGCTAAGTATGAAACGCGTAGCAACTCCCCCGGATATTCCACTGTCGATATAGTTTTAACTCCCTTCCCCTCTATTCAATCAGGTCCTAATGCACAGTAACTCTCGCCTGTAAATAATTTCTAACAGCTGTATGGAGATGTCGGAGATTCAACAGCACCGACCAGTCTGTGATAAAGGCAAACTCGTGCTGCACAAAAAACCTGAACCGTCCGATTATATATTCAGTACGTGAAAAGCACGAGTTAAAACAGTATCTCAGACAATGCGATTTAAAGCAACTGCACTGTAATAATTAAAGAACTATCGGTAGCTTACATAAGATTACGACTCATACATTTTACAAAAATCAGCTACAATTAGACAAAAGCTACAATGAACGTTTGGGTAAATAAAAACAGACTTGTACATATAAAATTGTAATGGCAACTTGCAAAGAGCTACAATATTTAATGCTTTGGCTTGTGTATATAGTAATAGGCAACTGCTGAAATGTGGAGTCCCCGTGCTGTTGTGAAATTATAAAGAACATACAAAAGGGAGGAGACCCCAATTTCTCTGGGTTACACCATAAAAAGTGTCATGGTGTGTCACTCGGCATGTTCCCGGGATTGTTCACATCTTAGGGCAATTATCTGGTTATTCTTGGAGTGAAACACTTTGGAACAGGGTGAAAACAGACTACCGTGGAAAGAGGTTCTCAACAGTGGAGAATTCTAAATGATCAACAACATTTTAAAGTAACATAGTAAGGATACACACAGCAGTCCTGACCAAGGAAAAGTGCTTTTTTCCCCAAAACCCTGATATCCTCACACTAGCCACCCCAGAAAACCCTCCCTTCACAGGGCAGACACCACACTTCATAACACAGCTGTTTCATCAGACATTAAAAAGGGCTTGTTCAGACTTGCTGAGGAACAGGACTTGATTGTGGGAATACCCAAACAACTTCATGAATGTCAGGCTCATCAACCCAAACCAAATCCCAAACAAATTACCAGATGTTTAAGATGAGAGGGAAAAGAAATCCCTCTGAGGGTTGAGCAGATGGCATCAGTGTTCATGGGTCAGCAGTGAGCCCACTGCATCCTGCAAGGAACCTCCCACCCTGTCCAACACACCGTTGTGCTACTAGATCCACAGGCAAACAGGCCAGACTTTGGGGAAATTACGGATTTCTCAGCTACAGAAGGACAACATATGCAACAGTGATTCTGGAGAAGGACAGGTGTACGAGAATGTGCAGGGAGAAAGTACATATCCACAGGAATCTGGGAATCACGTGGTATAGCGATCCTGAAAGAAGAGAAACCAGAGTGAACCAGGAAACCAATGCAACGAGAGCTTCACCTACAACAGGACATGTGTAGTTGCTGCTGCTGCTTCCATCCCCACATACCTGGATGGATGACATGACTCCACTGGCCATCACAGAGAGCTTCCCGGCAACAGACTTCACTCCCAGCTTCAGCTGTGAGATGTCTGGCGTGTTGGGGAGGACATTTGTCAGGCTGTAGGATCCTGGGGGTGACCAGCAGCAGTCATTTTCAGTCAGGAATGATTATCAGGACATTTTTTTGCAACTAGATGGCCAAGAAAAATTGACCCAATACAGACAAAAGAGAAGACTCCTAATCTAAAATGGCTGCCACTTTACTTTTTCTAAAATGTTTTGTTTTTGTGCCCCCAATGTGGTTAAGTCAACTAACTCTTCCCTAAATAACTGTTCCTGTCCTCTTCATTACTCACCAGTCTGCTTCTTCTGATCATCGAACAAGTCTGCCGAGCTGATGGCTGAGCTGCTGGAGAACCTCTCCAGTCTGGTCCGCGCCTCGTACTGGACCAGAGAGAGAGAGACAACTCGTCTGTCATGAATCCCACTGCACATCCTGAGCCAGAAGGCATTTAGAGGCAGGAGTACATGCTAATTAATACCATATTTAGGTGTTCTACCCAAACTTTGTATTTGCTACTCGTCTATCTGATAGAAAATGGATGGACAGTTTGTCTAACCACTGATCCACTTAGCAAACAGTACACGGTCTTACGTGTATTCCTTTCACCACCCTGGGTAATCCTACGCTTTTCAGGTGCCACAGAGCTTAGCTCTCATTGGAAGTATGAAAGTCACACTAATTTAGCTGAATATGGCAGAAACAGTCAATGACAGTGATCTGGGCTAATAAATGTAGACTGAAGGCACCTTAACCAACGGTGACAGGACATTAAACACAGTCACCCAAAGAATAGCCTTACTTTCAAAAGACAGAGCAGCTATAAACTGTTATGAGGATATGAGGACATACGATGCAAGCTGGTACGGCTCAGCAGGTTAAGTCGGTGTGCCTGAGATGGGAAGGTTGCCAGTTTAAATTCCATGTTTGGCAGAATAGTCACATTGTTGCTGGGCCCTTGAGCAAAGGCCCTTAAAAATGCACCAGGGGCACCAAATAAATGGCCTGACCCTGTGCTGGGACCCCAAGCTTTGCTCTCACCTGTATTTGTATGTGTGTGTACATCTAAAAGGAAAGACTGCATATGATAAAAGCAGCATTCCAAAGTACCTGTAAATACACTTGTATAAGTGTCCAATAAAGCATCATCTAAAGTTTCATTTTAAACTAATGCAAGGATGACCAAGAAGGCAGTCTCCTTATAACACAGCACGAACACTGACACCTGGAATACTCTCAGCTGGAGGACTGCAGAAGGCAGTCTCCTTATAACACAGCACGAACACTGACACCTGGAATACTCTCAGCTGGAGGACTGCAGAAGGCAGTCTCCTTATAACACAGCACGAACACTGACAC